ATCAAGTACTGAGATGGGGTTGTTAAAATTTCCAACCAAAAACATAGAATTATCATTTTCTTTAGTTCCATCAGTATTGGCTTCACAAATTGTTGGCTCTTGTGTTGAAGATGCACACATATTTACAATTAGGCCTTCCTGATGAATTATCTCTTTATTTTATTTTATTTTTTACTGGGGATCGAACTCAGGACCTTGAGCTTGCGAGGGAGGCAGCAGAACCACTGAGCTAAATCCCTGGCCCTGAATTATCTCTTTATCTAGATTGTCCTGTTTAGTTATTGAAATAGCCTTGCCTTGAAGTCTGCTTGATTATTTATATTGCTATTCTAACTTTCCTGTCCTTGCTGTTAGCATGATGTAGTTTTTCCTATGCTTTTATTTTCACTTGATGATACTTAAACTGTATAAATCAGGATGTGCTTTTTAACCAATTTTGATAATTTCTGTTTCTCAGCTGGACTGTTAGGTCCATTTATATCCCATTAGACTCTGTAGGGCTATCTCAGAGGCCACTGAATTGATTTATGCTAAAGTCCAACTGATTTAAATTCTGTCTCCATTCTCCATTAAACCTTTCTGGTGACGTTATCATTTCAATTGTTGTATTTTTCAGTCACAGAATTCCTAATCAGTTGTTTTGTATAGTTTTATGTCCTTGTTGATGTTTTCTTCTTTCGTTGAGGCTTTATTTTCCATATTTCTTTAACATATTTGCTTTTGTTTCTTCAGGTATTATTTTAAGGTATTATAAAGTCCTCATGTATTTATAAGGGTGTTTTAAAGCTAAATTCAACATCTTTTGGCGTCATTTTCTGTTGACTGCTTTGTTTCTTTTTTGGTACTGGGGATCGAACTCGGGTCCTTGCGCTTGCGCAGCAGGTGGCGAAACCACTGAGCTAAATCCCAGGCCCCAACTGCTTTGTTTCTTAATGACTCACATTTCCTTTTCGCCTTTAATAATTTTTAAATTGTATATTGCACCTTATGGACATGTGGTAGGAACTCTGAATTTGGTATTTTTCTTTGAGGAGTTGATTTTTATTTCAGTGAGCCATGCAGTTATGTACTGGCTCCCCTTAACTTGTGCAGGCTTCATTTTACACTTTGTAAAGTAGATGTTGGAAAGAGGAAGGTGTTTCCGAAGGACTTTTTTTTTCTGATACCGGGGATAGAACTTGGGTCCTTGCGCTTTCCCAAGGACTTTTAATCTCCAAACTGTGCTACTTGTGGCCGTTCAGAGTTTATTCTTGGCTGGGTTAGGCAGTGCTCCAGTAGGCCTGCTTTGTGCGTTGTTCTTTATTCTAAGGTGCATCAGCTGGATGGCCAGGAAATTAGTAGTCCTTGTTCAGTTTTGCTGACTGGCTGTTGAATGTCCTTCCCGTGCTGCTTGACTTCAGTGTTTCTGTTCTTTTGTCAACCCCATAGCAGTTGCTCCTTAGGAAATGGCCCCTGCTCTGCAGAGCCCAGCCTTGAGCCCGCTGCTTCCTTGCAGCTTCCAAGACACACACACACACACACCCCGCCCCGCCCTGGGTGTGGCTCCTGACCTTCCACCACTGCGCTGCTTCCTTCCTCACAGTTTCTGGCCCCCCCTCCTTTTGACTCCTGACTTTCCAGTCCTGTTGTCAGTGCCACCTGTTCTCTGCTCCTTAGCTTCAGGGCACTGTGCTCTGCTGAGATGCTACTTGTGGCACACTGGATGGGATACTGATTTCAAGCAGGGTTTCTGGGCAGTTGCGCAGCTGAGTTGGTAAGTTTCTTTCCCTGAGATTATGGTCATTTTAAAATTTATTATTCATGTGTATATTTTGATTTATTTTTTCAGTGCTGGAGATTGAATCCAAGGTCTCATTCATGCTAGTCAGAGTCTTTACCACTGAGCCCGCAGGAGTGTGTGTGTGTGTGTTTGTGTGTGGGTGTGTGTTGCTAGGGGCCAGACAGAGCCCAGCTGAGAGTGGACCTTCTGCTGCTTCTTTTACAAATCCTGAAAGCGGTTTCTTCCTGTGTTTGATGGTTGTTCACGATGGGAATGCTCAGCAGTGCTGGGTCCTCCCTCATAGCCAGATGTACATGGTTCTGAGTGATAAATTCATGCATTCGCTGCATCATACTAGGAGGTATCCGTGTTCTTTGTTGTTGGTTTGTTCAAGTCCACTCAAAAGCTCTTATCTACTTTGTTATTGGAGAAAACTTTGTCTTGAATGCATACATTTTATGATTGTTCAGAATTCTGTTGTATTTTATACAGCATTTGATCTGTAAAGCGTGATGGTTCTTTCCTGTCTCCTCAGGGAGAGATGGTATTCCTTTGATTTACTTTATTTTCATCAATATAAGTATTGGTTCTAGATGTATAGTAGACAAGAAGCAACTAAAAATATTGTTGAACCTTTCTTAAAACTGGAAATTTATAGTCTGGCCAGCCATTGAGTTCAAAAAATATGTTTCTACATATTATTAGTTCCAGATTCAAATATTTAATGAGTATATTTTATAGCTAATGCTGGGATTGAATTTGGCACTGTGAATATCAGAAAACAAAACAAGTGTGAATGATCCCTACTCTTGCTGAGTGTACATTCCAACATCAGAGACAGGCAGTAAATACAAAGAAACAAACAACATTTAAAAATTACAAATTGTGGTATGTGTGAGGAAGAAAATAAACAGAGTACCGAGGCAGAGCTCGGTGAGATGCTTTAGGGTGGTCAGAGAAAGCCTTTTAGAGGCGCCACATATTTCAGCTGAGCCGTAAGGAGCAGGTGTCCTGGGGAGAGGAGAGTTTGGGACTGTGGTGGGTTTTCTCATGCTCTCCTCAGTACTGTGAGGCCGCCGAGGCAAGGCTTGGTCTGGTGGAGGCACTGAGAGGAGATGTGTGTGCTTGGAACATGCAGAGAAATGAAAATGGCAGAGTTTCAGCTGGGAAGGTGGACATAGGCTGGATGACTTGGGGCCCTATAGACTGTGGCCAGCAGCTCGCCTTCCTCTTAGCTTCTCTCTTCCAACCCTAAGTGGGTGACCACAGACTGGTCAGAGCTCCTGAGTGAAAGTACAAACTGGATGAGCTGTCGGGCTGGCAGGTGCCATTTGGCTTGGTTTGCGGAAATGGCCCTAACTGTGAGCTTACATATGTAGAAACAGCGTGGATCCTGCATGCTGACTGCCTTTCCGACTTCATTCTGTATGGTCCTCTGGCAAGTTTACTTCCCTGTGCCTCATATTTGCCATTTATAGTGGGGAAATAATACCTCACTGGAACTGTTGTGAAGTTTAAGGTAATGCATGCATCAAAATAGTGCCGTTTTGGGGCCAATGTGATTTATTATCTAATTTGACATATTACAAGAGAAAATGAGAAGTTTTGGCTTTATGTTGGGAGTGAAATGAAGAGGCTTGAGGTTGTTTTGTGCTTTTGTTTTTTTTGTTTTTTTGGTGCTGGGGGTCAAACTTGGGACTTTGCACTTTCAAGGCAAGTGGTGGAACCACTGAGCTAAATCCCCGGCCCGCATGCATCAAAATATATAGCCCATGGGTCGTACTACAAAGTACTCAGTAAATTCATTCTTTTAGGAAAGATTTATTGAAAGAATATTATGTGTCAGGGCAGGGGATTTAGCTCAGTGGTTTCACCGCCTGCTGTGCAGGCTCAAGGACCCGAGTTTGATCCCCGGTACCAAAAAAAGAAAAAAAAGAATATTATGTGTCAGGCTTTTTACTGGGCATGGGGGGTTAAATAGCAAACAAAACACAAACATTTGCCTTCATTATGTTAAATTCTAGTGCTGAGATAGGTGACAGATAAGTTGTTGTTTTTAAACTGTAGAGCCGGGATGGAGTTCAGTGGTGCTGTGTCTGCCTGGCAAGCGCAAGAAGTGTGGGGAGGGGTCTGTAAGTGGTTCCTGCACACAGGGGACACGAAAGGGAGTCACCAGCAGTGACTGCAGGCCAAGGAGCTGGCTCAGAAGGAAAGGGCAGGCAGCAGTGGAAATGGTTAGAAGCCACTGGGCTCTGAGACACCTTAGAGGTAGAAATGACTTGATTTGCTGGCAGAGGGGTTTTTTTTAGCCCAGGTAACTGGAAGGATAAAGTTGCTATTTATGCAAATGGGGACGACAGTAGAAGGGATAAATTCAAGGGTGAAGATGAGGAGTTCAGTTTTGGATATCCTGTTAGATACCTAGGTATAAATGTTAGCAGTTCTTATTTATTGTTAATTATTGAATGAATGTTAACTGCATTTATCATACATTAAATATTTATTAGCTCTGTGGTAGGCAGTTAATTACCAGTTATGGGAATTAAAAGAGTGCTCAAAAATAGTGTTCTTGCTCTTAGGGAATTTATAGTCTAATGAGGAAGGTAAGAATTGACCATACAACCATATTGTTGGTAGCTTTTCTCTATAAGGAAAAATAACCTTTTAAAATAAGCTGCCTAAAAAGACATAAAGATAACAATAAAATCATAGATATCCCTTGAACTTTAAATCAGTTAGGTTTTCATGTTCTGATAGTGATACATTGATGCTTCAAACTAAAATAAATGAATTTCCCCATGAGACATAGCTTGGAAGTTTCCCATTTAATAATATCTTATTCTTAAAATTGATTAAGTAACAGAAGGGAATGATGCTTCATGAATTTAGCTTCATTTAGCTGAAATAAATTTAGTTGCATATTAAACCTGGTATTGAAAGGTATTGTATTTTGCATGAAAGATTTAGGCTGTTATATAAATTTTCTCCTTCGTTTCTTTTACATATGTAATATTACATTTTATTAGGTAGTTAAGGATCATTTTGTTTTTCAGCTGAAGACACCACCCCACTTCGCCCAAACCTGCAATCAAACTCAGGACCTTGCACTTGCCAGGCCAGAGGTGGTGCTACTGAGCTACATTCCCAGCCCTGAAGTCTTAATAGTAGTATTGTGGTATGATCTGATCACTTAATGTCATAAAATTAAAGGATTAATTTTTGTGTTTTAACAAATCCACAGGTTCGTCATAAGGCATCACAGAATGTGTATGCCATGAAGCTGCTTAGTAAGTTTGAAATGATCAAAAGATCAGATGCTGCTTTTTTCTGGGAAGAAAGAGATATTATGGCCTTTGCCAATAGTCCCTGGGTGGTTGAGGTAAGCATATGAAATTTTAAACTTTATTTCCTTCTTTTATGAGTTCTCATTGTTCATAAGACTTTACTTTGTCAGAAATGCTATGCCTTGGTCACTCGGTAGTAATGCAGGTGTTGTTAATAAGATGCAATTCAGCATACTTGTTTAATGTTCCTAAACACTAGGTCTGCATAGACATGACATGAATAATTGCTTAAGTTGTTTTGTAGAAGCAAGTATTACTTGCAGGTTTTTCCTTTTTAGTTTCTTAATGTACAGAATTGGCTTGATCACCAGTATGCCATTATTTTCTGCCTACCGTTTATTGTGATTTACATCATCGGAAAAAGTAAATTAAGTGAGTCATTTGGAAAGATAGTACATGTTAATATTACTCAGAAGTTGATGTTATGTTAATTGTCCTGTCTTAAACAGAAAAGCTTCTGACAATAGACATGTTGGAAATTCTCCTACAGTCTGTTATATATTACCTATGACAGTGGTGGTGAACCTATGGCACATGTTGCTGCAGGGGGCTGTTTGCATCAATGAAAGATCTAAAAGGTTCACCATCACTGACTATGATAACATTCCTGCTTCTGTGTCTTCTTTGAGTGAATTAAGGAATTTATGATTCTGTTTTGACTCCTTTTCCTTTATATTCCTCACCAGCTTTGCTTCTCTGCAGATTTTTAATACTAGAATTTTTTTTTTTAAATTACCAATTTAGGGCTGGGGATTTAGCTCAGTCAAGCGCAAGGACCTGAGGATGATCCCTGGTACCAAAAATAAAGCAAAAGTACCAATTTAGATGGCTTTGTCGTCAAAAGATTGAGTCATAGTCTTCCCCCTTTCCTTTATTTTGTTGATTGTAGCTAGTTACTTGGAATTTTTTTTTTTTTAATAATAGAAGATTTTTTTTTTATTGTTTTTGTTTTTTGAGACAAGGTCTCACTATGTAGTTCAGATGGCCTTGAATTCACTAGTACTCCAGGCTGGCCTCACACTTGCAGCGATCCTCCTGCCTCAGCCTCCCAAGTGCTGGGATTACAGGCATGCAGCACTATGCCCAACCTTTAGTAGAAGATTTATTTAAACAAGAAAGCACAGTCATCATGGCCAGACTTAATATGAGATATTAAATGGTCGTCCCAGTTTTCCTTCTTGGATAAGCTTTTCCTTCCTATCCCTATCCATTTTGAAAACATAGTACCAGAAGATGAGGGGCCCAAGTCCAAATGAAATTCCTATCAGTGAGTTTTTAGGAGTGGGTCTGAAACTGGGATAGGTATTAGCTGATCGTGCATAGATCCAACGGGTCAAAGCAGAATGATGAGCCCTCGGCGATTTGGATTGTTGAACTGAAGCAAATACTCTTGTTTAAGCCAGGCTCTTATGGCCAAACACTCGACTTGGCCTTCCGGGTTTCCGGAGATATGTCGTGTTCGGCTGGGTCAAGGGTAGCAGGAAGAGTGGCCCAGCGTGAGGGCTTGTGCTTTGGGAACGCCATCTTGCTCCCCACCCCCAGCTCCTAGTTACTAGGAATTTTTGTGGCAAATTATGTACCATAATATTGACTTGATTAAAGAATGATGATGATAAAGAATTTTTTCCACTTTTTACTTAACATTGCTTTCATAATAGATTTCTTGCCATTTCCAGTTAACCATTTTATATGCTGGTATTATTCATTCATTCATTTATTTATTTATTTTTGTACCAGGGATGGAACTCGGGTCCTTGCGTTTGTACAGCAGGCGGCGAAACCACTGAGTTAAATCCCCGGCCCTATGCTGTTATCTTAATTCTGCTAAGTGGACCCTTATAGAGTGTTAATTGATAAAATATCTCTTGATTATTGAAATAATCTGAGGAAGTAGATCAGTGGTGAAAACAGTGCATTTGAAAAAAATCACTCAGGGCTAGGGATTTAGCTCAGTGGTTCCATTGCCTGCCTCGAAAGCACAAGGTCCCGAGTTCAATCCCCGGTACCAAAAACAAAAAGAAAAGAAAAAATAACTCTGGTTCCAAAATTGGCACACAAAAATCAATAGCTTTCCCATACACCAGTAATGCTGCAAAAGAAATCAGGAAAACAATTCCATTCACAAGAGATTGAAAATACAATACATAGGAATCAACCTAAACAAGAATGTGAAAGGCCTCTGTACTGAAGATTAGAGAATGCTGAAGAGAGGTATTGAAGAAGACATTAGGAAATGGAAACACTTCTCTTGTTCATGGATTGTTAAAATGGCCATATTTCCAAAAGTGATTTACAGATTCAATGTAATCCCTATTAAAATACTAACAGTATTCACAGAACTAGTGAAAAAAATGCTAAGATTCATATGGAATCACAGAAGACTGAAATAGCCAAAACAGTCCTGAGCAAAAAGAGCAGCACTGGAGGCATCACAGTGCCCTGCACTGTAAAGCCACAGTGACAAAACAACTCAGCACTGACACAAAAACAGACAGGAGACCAATGGAGCAGAACAGAAGACACAGAAACAACCCCAGCACTTGCAGCCATATGAATTTTGACAGAGGGCCAAAGGACCTATACTAGAGGAACAGCTTCTTTAACAAATGATGCTGGGAAGACTTTGCTTGTAGAAGACTACACCAGATCCTTCTCTCTCTCCCTGTACTAAAATCAAAACAAAATGGATCAGGTTGTTAGGGCTTGTGTCTAGATATCCCCTCAAAGCCTCGTGCTCATAGATAGGCCCTTGCAGAGGTGGCTGGATCTAGGATGTGTGATGCTGGGATTGAGAGTGTGTGATTACTAAATTAGTCCACTGATTGGTTTGGCATAGTTCTGGGTGTGGAAAATGGGAAGGCCCACCCAGGGTGTGAGCAGCACCACCCAAAGGGCAGGTAGCCTGGAAGGGATAAAAGGGAGAGGGAGGCTGCAGCTTCTGTTTCTGTGCTACTTTGGTGCCTTCTGTGCGCCATGAACCGTTTCTCCTCCGCGATGCCTGTCTGCCATGCCATTCTGCCTTGGAGCCAGCCAACTGAGAACTGAAACCTCTAAAACTGTGAGCTACAATAAGCCTTTCCTCCTTTAGCTTTGGGTATCGAGTGTTTTGTCTCAGCAACAAGAAAAGTAACTAAGACAAAGACCTAGATACAAGACCAGAAGCTTTCAAACTGCTGGATGATAACATAGGGGAAACATCTAAAGCCATAGACTCAGGCAGAAACTTCCTGAATAGAGCTCCAATAGCACAGGAAATCAAGAATCAACAGATGGATATACTTCAAATTGAAAAGCTTCTGCACTACAAAGGAAACAAACAGATTGAAGAGATAGGCAACCTACAGAATGGGAGGAAATCTTTGCTAGCTATTCTTCTGATAGAGGATTGATATCTAGACTATATAAAGAACTCAAAAAATTGAACACGTCTCAAAAAACCCAATGGCCCAATCAATAAATAGACAAATGAATTGAACAGAGAGTTCTCAAAAGAAGTAAAAATGCCCAAGAATATATGGGAAAAAAAAAAAAGCTCAATATCTGGCTTGGTCACTTTCTCATTTCGGGGAAAAAAATATCTGATACCCATAAGTTAAAGGAAGAAGGATTTATTTTGGCTCACAGTTTATAGAGGTTTCAGCTGATAGTCACCTGGCTCCAAGGCAGGGTGACATGGCAGAGGAGAAGCAGTTCACGGTGTGATAGGCAGAAAGCAGGGCAGCAATCAAGGGAGTAGGAGGGATGTGTATATTTACACCCTTCCAAGCCACGCCATAGGGACCACCTCTCCCCACCTGGCTTTAACTTCCAACATCCCACCCAGCTCCAAACTCTTAGTGGGTAATCCAGCATGACACACCCATGATCCAGCCACCTCCCTACAGCTCACTTGTGAGCACAGGAGGCTTTGGGGAGGGGGCAATCTAGATAGAAGCCATGCATCTTTAGCTGTTAAGGAAATGAGGATCAAAACTAAGTTACAGTTCTATCACATCCCAATTAGAATGGCTATCATCAAGAACACAAAAACAGGCCTGCTTCCTCCAGGATGTACTTTTATCTTGTTTTTTCCTCTTTTACTGAGCCCAAGCTCACTCTGCAGAGCCAGTTTCTCCTTCACCCTTCACTTTTACTTTTTCAGATAAAGTTTGTCACTGGTTTTTGCTCGTTTCATTCAGTTCTTTGTTCAAGATGAGGTCAGTCTAGAATCTAACCCCAGGTGAGGCAAGCAACCCCTCCCTCCCCCCAAAAGAATGCAAAAACAATACATGCTGGTGAGGATAACTAGAAAGGAACCCTTTGAGACTGCTGGTGCAAGTGTAAACTAGTATGGAGAGTCCTCAAAAACTAAAAATAGATACACCATTTATTACAGCTATGCCTCACCTCAGTGCATATGAGTATTTTTCATATGAAATTGGTATATATGTTCGTATATTCCTTTTAGGGATCTACCTTGAAGAGAAATTAGCAGGTCCCAGGTGTGCCTATAATCAATTTCAATGGATTATCTTCCCAAATCTCATCTCTTAATTTTTAGTGAGTACTCAATATTTAATTATACAAACAGCCTCATAATTCATTGTTACTATATTATTGTTGGAAAGATACCTTTTTAATTTTCTTGTTTTAGTTTATGGAAAAAATAATATTTCATAACAAAATAATAGAATAACAATAGTTAATACACTATGCACTGTGTATCGTTATCTTCAAAGTATAGTTACTCAGAATAGAAGACAGCAACAAAAAATTCTCACAAAGAAGAAACAGCTATTAGTGCAAAACTTTCTTTTCAGTGAACTAAGAGAAACTAGTAGTATAAATGAAACAAATCAGCATATATATTAAAATATTTTTGAAACAACAGTAGGTAATTTTGGGAATCACTGGAACCTCTCCCCATTTCCTATTTATCTGGCTTCTATTTTGCTCCATATATATATAATTTGAATTTCTCATATAAAAGAAACCTGCCATAATTAAGCTTGTATATCATTATTTCACTTATGTTCTCAAGTTACATCCATTTATC